GTCAAATGCAAGGTCTACCAGAGCTGGGGATGGAAGGATCTGTCCATTCTGGCTCTCCCAGTTTCTCATGTTCCAGTCTTAAATCCAGCTCTCCACATTTCTGCAGCAATTTGTGCCCCCCCTTTAATACTTAACCAGCATAATAGTGCAAATTTCTCCTACAAATGTGGTTGCATGCAGTTTTTACTTATGCACACACTTACTGCAAGCAACTTCCTCTAATACAGGTAAAGTTAAAGGACCCCTGGATGGTTCAGTCCAGTCAAACTTGACTATGGGGTGTGGTGCCTATCTCGCTTCAGGCCGAGGGAGCCGGCGTTTGTCCGCAGACAGCTTTCCAGGTCATGTGGCGAGCATGCCTAAATTGCTTCTGGCGCAATGGGACAGCATGATGGGTGCCAGAGCACACTGAAATGCCTTTTATCTTCCCACCACAGTGGTACCTATTTATCTACTCATGCTGGTATGCTTTCAAACTGCTAGGTTGGCAGGAGCTGGACAGAGCAACAGGAGCTCACCCTGTCACACGGACTCAAACTGCCGACCTTCCGACTGGCAAGCCCAAGAGGTCCAGTGGTTTAGACCACAGCACCATGTGCTCCCTAGTTTTCCCTAATATAATACACTTTTGTATTACCAACCTAGCAGTTCGAAAGCACACCAGTGCAAGTAGATAAATAGGTACTGTGGCAGGTAGGTAAACGGCGTTTCCATGTGTTCTGGTTTCCATCACAGTGTCCTGTTGTGCCAGAAGTGGTTTAGTCATGCTGGCCACATGACCTGGAAAGCTGTCTTGGACAAACGCCGGCTTGCTTGGCTTGAAAGCGAGATGCGCGCTGCAACCCCATAGTCGCCTTTGACTGGGTCCTTTACCTTTTACTTTTTAACCTACATTTTTGTATGTTGTTTTCAGTAATCTATTCATTTTTATTAATTCCCCCCAAACTCTACATTTTTGCAAATCTTATTTGGTTGGAGAACTGCACCACAAAATTCAAATAAAGGCGAATTCTGATAGGGTAGCAGTATTTCGGTTTGTGTTTTGTTTCAGGAAGTGCGACTGTTGTAGATTTGCCTTTCCATGTGAACAGAATTAAATTTCTTCCCCATGCCTAATTACCACCTTCATCAACCTGGTACCCTCTAGTTGTTTTGTACTACAACTCCCATCTGTCCCAGCCAGCCCTGTCTGGTGTTTATGGGAGCTGTAGTCGAAAACATTTGAAGAGCACCAGACTGGTGAAGGGGTTCCTCTAGACAGAAAGACATGAGCAGGGAGTGAAGTGAAAAAGGAATGGGAGTGCCTAAATGAATACCTTAAAAGCCAAGGTTCGAGGACAGAAATCTGGCTGAGTCTGGAATAACCTTGTGAAGTGAAAGGATAAGAGAGAGGATAGAGATGATAAGGAAAACAGGAAAACAGAAAGACACAGTGAGAGGTAAATGAGGTGCTGTGGGATTGGTGGAAGTCAATGTTTGTTTTTCTTTTTAGTGTTTATATTATTACAGTGGTACCTCGGGTTACATACGCTTCAGGTTACAGACTCCGCTAACCCAGAAATATTACCTCAGGTTAAGATCTTTGCTTCAGGGTGAGAACAGAAATCGTGCTCCGGCGGTGTGGCAGCAGAGGGAGGCCCCATTAGCTAAAGTGGTGCTTCAGGTTAAGAACAGTTTCAGGTTAAGAACGGACCTCCGGAACGAATTAAGTTCTTAACCCGAGGTACCACTGTAATTTGTAAGATTTGGATTTGTGTTTTTTTGTATGCTTGTTTTTGTCTTTTGTGTATTGTTATTTTTTGTTGTTTTTGTTGTTGTTGTGTGGAGAATACTAATAAAATTAATAATAAAATTTAATTTTTTTTAAAAAAAGACATGTTCAGGGGGTTGTTTTCAATGGGAGGTGTTATTTTCCAGATTGGCCCTGAGAGCCACAAAGGACTTTCTCAGAATCTACCCACCAGCCTGCGATTTCAGAAGCTCCAGCACATGGGATGGTGAGGGGGGGTGGGGAGGCAGCTGAGTGCTGAGATCCTTATTCAAATTTCTGAGATCCATTATGTAAGAGCAACAACTGGCAAATAGCTCTCATCAGATGCGACCCTCCGGGAGATGATTGACAAAAAAACACAGTCCATTTGCTTGAGGATTTACGTGGCAGGCGCGAAGGCAGCTTTCAAAGTCCCATGGATGACATTTTAGAGGCTGCATATTTCCCGCATTTTGTTTGTTAGTGACAGGAGAGCTGATTATCCTCGACATTTACACATCAAATGCTGTTTTCAATATGTCAGGCCATAAACATTTTTACCGGCGCTCCTGTGGGTGAAACATCTTGACGCCATTGCAGCCTGTAATCATTTTGTTGACATTAGCACAGAGAACGGTGGGGCAGCGAAATAACGTGAAGTAATTGGATTGAGTGAGGTAAAACAATAATTTAAAGTGAATTACCAGCCGGAGAACTGGAACAGTTAAATTCCCCTGCCGGTCCTGACAGCAGGGAGAGCATTCAGAATTCTGTTGAGTTTTAAGGAAGATTTGGCAACCTCGGGGAGAAGGCAATACTTCTGCCCAGAAAATAAGTTGGGCTATTTTTTCCGACTTGGTTGCTGTTCTCTACTTTTGTGCCCCTTTGTTGCTTTTCCACACTTCTCAGAGATTACTTGGGCAAAGCTCTCGGCTCCCAGGAAAAGCAATTAGAGGTCAGAAGCTCTGCAATCCTGTCTCCACCAGAACCGGTGGCCTTGAACAGTTCAGTTAACTTTTCTGTCCCCCAAGCTGGTCACCCATGACAGAAATGTAGTAAGCCTTTAATTATTGTTCATAAACGGAGATGGAGGGAAGAGTAAATAAAAGCCAGAAGGGCTCGCAAGCCAAACCTGAACACAAATGCTTTTCTGGAATATTCTAGCCCTGTTTGGGTGCTATTTGCTCTTGTGTACGTCAACACCGGGAGCAAGGAGTAGGTCCGCTCTGAATGTCGCTCTGAATGTCACATGCTGCTCCCTGAGCACAAACATTTGTGTCGGGGGGCGCAGGGTTAACCCCAATGCTTCCTGATGAATCTTTTGTGCATTCAGTGCTATGTGCAAAGGCACATAGCGGACATCGGGGAAAGAGTGTACAATATCAGCTGTAGGACTGCTAGCGATGGCAGTGCTCTTTGCTCCCATGTTGTGAGCAAATGATGCTCAAAATATCACTTATGTGTTGTTTTGCTATGAAAAACACAAATAAAGGACCCCCACCCGTAGGCCAACTGCTGTCAGCAAAAACAAATGAGGATGGATTCACATGACAATGTTCAGCTTTCCCATGTTGGCATCCCTTGGGTGGAGACCCGGCAGTGTGAAATTTTGAACATGTCTCCAAATTGCGATTCCCAAGATCTTTCTAGAATGGGCATGGAAGCTGTTCCAGCCCAAGGGCCACATTACCTTCAGGGTCACCTTGTGAGGGCCACATGGGATTGGCAGAAGTGGGTGGAGCAACGAGTGTAAATTTAACCTCGACACAGTAGGTGTCACCCACCCACCTCTCTGGTCTCCATCCAGGCCAATAAGAAGCATCATCAGAATTCAAGGACAGATTTCAGCAAGACATGGAGGGCAAAGCAGGGCTAGTGACATTTGTGGCCTGGGGCCAGTTCCAAGGGTCAGACAGAGCATTCTGGAGGGCTGAATTTGGCCTCCCAGGCCTCAGGCCCCTGACTTCTGTTCTAGAAGATTCAGGGAAGGATAAACAAAACAGTCAATAGGACTGTGGCATTTTGCTTGCAAATAAAGGTGTGTGAGGTTGTGGTGTTGTTTTATTTAGAGAAACTGATATCTGAGGCTGAAATTCTGCTCCATCTGCACTCTACATTTAAAGCTTAAAAATTTAAAACTTAAAAATGGAAACCGTAATGCTGGTGGTCAACAAAAGAGGTTTAAAGACTCTCTCAAGGCAAATCTATTAAAGAATGTAGTATAAACACCGACAACTGGGAAACAGTGGCCTGCAAGCGCTCCAGTCGGAGAACAGCCTTTACCAAAGGCGTCGTGGGCTTTGAAGACACTCGAACTCAGGACGAAAGGGAGAAATGTGCTAAGAGGAAGGCAAGCTTCGCAAACCCTCACCATGATCAACTCCTGCCCAGAAACCAATTTCCCCACTGTGGAAGGACATGTGGATCCAGAATTGGCCTCCACAGTCACTTACAGACTCACTGTTAAAACCATGTTCATGGAAGACAATCCCTTGGTTGGGCTGGGGAATGCGACTGCACTCTTACGAACTCTGGTAGGGTTGCCATATTTCGATAAGTGAAAATCTGAACACAAAAGTTGCTGAGCTATGGGTTTTTGAGCTATCTTTAATGAAATTTGCCAAAATCTACATTACCGACATGGGCTGCCATATGTCCGGATTTCCACAATTTCCACCCAGACGCCGTTTGTGAGGGCTGAATTCTGGACGTATGGCAACCCTACACTCTGGGTTTATGGTTTGGGTACAGAAGATGTGACTGGGTTCAATGAGTCTTTCTCACAGATTGTTGCACAAGACTGTATAGGATGGCAGTACCAATTACTTAGAAGACCTTGGCTCGAATTTCCCCAGGTATGTGTGAAAGACAGTAAGAGAAGCTAATCGTAGGCTGAATTTTGCTGGGATTTTGCTGGGAACATAGATCATGGGTAGGCAAACTAAGGCCTTGGATCAGGCCCAATCGCCTTCTAAATCTGGCCTGCGGGTGGTCCGGGAATCAGTGTGTCTTTACATGAGTAGAATGTGTGATTTTATTTCAAATGCATCTCTGGGATATCTGTGGGGGATAGGAATATGTTCATTTTTCTCTCCCCAAAATATAGTCTGGCCCCCCACCAAGGTCTTAGGGACAGTGGACCAGCCCCCTGCTGAAAAAGTTTGCTGACACCTGACATAGATCCTACCAAATGGGGTTTTTGGGGGGCATGGGGAGGGAAGAAAAGAAGAGGCCATTTCCGATTGCCAAGCATATTGAAATCTCAAAGGTTTAATTGAATAATTTTTGTACCAAATCACACAGTTTTGAAGTCCTGATTACACGCCCCAGGAATTTATTTGCCTGAGAAAAAAAGCTGCATTATGGATTACAAGATCAAAGATTAATTTCACTGCTGCAGACTTCAATTGTACAGCTCAGACGACACTTGAACAGTTCATGGAGTCTTGTAACACCATAAAGTCCCCCCCCAACATTACATTATTGGAGAGGTGGCAGAGGAGGGGGGAGAAGTACGCGGAGAATGGACGAGCTGGACAGATAAAATGTGCTTTCTCCTTTTGGCAAAAAAAAAAAAAAAAGTTAACCTTTGCTTCCAATACACATATAAATAGTTCCTTTAAAAAAGTTCTATGGTAACTTTAGGGGATGATTGGTGAATACCTCACATTCTGCCTTTTAGGAGTTCCATAACCTGAACCTGACAAGATTGTCTTTTGAGTATAATCTAACAAAAGTTGTGAATACTATTTGTAATCCCACAGAGAATGGGTGGAAAAATTCATTGCAAGTTTTGCCTTGCTCACTTTTCCCATTTATCCCTAGGGCATATTGGGCTTCAACATTGACTCTCAAAACTGCCCCAGACTGATATTCCTCTTTTTTCTCTTCCATTTTGTGACTTCCACTCCTCCCACTATCTGATGAGTTGTCACCTACTCACATTTTACTCACGCTTTACTCCTGCTTTACTCAGACCCACCCCACCTACCACTCTCTCCATCTTCATATGGTGGCTTGGATCTTTTGCCTGCTGTGTGGCTATTCTCTGGTTCTATGTACCACCTATCTACCACCTTTTCTTTTCAAGCGCTTGTACCAAAGCAGAGCTTGGAACAACAGAAACAAGACCTGCTACTACCACTTGCAAGGTGTCTCCTTAGGCAGCTGCTTAGTGTTACCTAGTGGTAATGCATGACTCAGAGCATGTACATAGAGTGCTTCCAGACTGTCCCTCTTTTCGGGTGGGATTCAATCGCATGTGGGCAAATTCAGGTTGCGTAATCAAACTTGGTCTGGAGATCTTGCGCTTCCTCCAAACACCAGATTTTTTGTGATAAGTAAAGTGATGGGAAAATGCAGCAGAAAGTGGGGGGGGGGTACCATGTAATTAAGAAAAAGAAAGGTTAAAAATTAAATAGAAATTATGGGAGGGATTTGCTGAATTAAATAATTGGAAATTGGAATGCAGAAAGGGGAGGTATGAGGAGGTCGGGAAAGTTAGTTATAAGAAAATAGGGGATGAAATTATACTTGTTGTTGTTTGTGTTTTGTGTGTATTTTTGTTTTTTATTTTATGTAACTTTTTGGAAAATTTAATAAATATCTTTAAAAAAAAGAAAGAAAGTGGGGGGTGGGTACCATTTGCCTTGACCCCGGCAAGAAAATCAGAATGCACAATAAATAGGTCATCTGGAAGCAGCTATGATTTATGCATGTTCCTGGTTCTTCAGCCTTACCGCAATTCAGTAAATCATGTGAATTTCATCCCCTCCCTGCCCAATATGCTCTTGAATTTTTATTTTTCTGCGTACTGGTTAAAAAAGCCCACTTCTCTAGGAATATTATTATATACCACCCATTCTCTTTACTAGCCTCTCAAATTGAAGGATGTTTTGCAAGAATGGTCACAACCACATTCTTATGCCACTTCAAATCCCGCAAAGAATCATGGGAGCTGTAGTCTGCTATGGGCACTGACCTCATAGACCTACAGTTCTCAGCACCCTTAACAAACAACAGTTCCCAGGATTCTCCTTGACTGTTAAAGTTGTATAAGAGAGCCTTAAGTTTATGGTGTAGATGTGACCTAAGTTTTGTCTGAGTGGAAATGCCACTGTGAACGGCCTCTAAGACTCCCCCCGCCCCTGACGCTGCTCTTCTTAGTGACAAGCATATCCAGGTTTGGACATTACGAAATACAAGAAGGGCACTTCTCACTTTCAGTTAATAAAAGAAATAATAAAATATAACATATTCGTATTACAATACACCACTAGTTTTAATATATGTTTTTGTCCTCTTGTCTAGTATTCTTTTTTTCTTTTTCTTTTAAATATACAGTAAAAAAATCTAAAATAGTTGGAAGTAAAAAATGAAAAAATAGCTGACTATGGGTTGTATTTTTGTTTTAGTTCTTCTTTACAGTGATATGGTAGCAAATACAAGGAAAAAAATACAGAGAATAAACTTGTACGGAAAGTGTTTTCTGGTCCCATCTCTGCCAACAGGGCTCAGGTTGGAGTCGGAGATGAATGGAGTCAACGGGTGTGGTGAATTAATGCGATTTGTGGGGTTTGCTTTTTTGGCTGTAGCTTTGGTAAGATAATGATCTGTGAGTCCAAGATATTGCAAATAAATGTCTAAAACATCGGAAGGGAAAGCTTAACCCTGAGCATGAAGCCAACATGAAGAAAATCACTCTGATCCAGAACTTTGAGGGGCCCCCCCCTCCCTGCAATCCAGAAGAAACTAAGTTCTGTTCACATCCCAAGAAAATCAACCATGGCTAAAATGTCCTAAGGATTTTAGCGGTGGTGAAGTTTGATTAGCGTTCTCTGGGTAAGGGCCTGGATGTGCAGAGGATGCACACCCTGACTTCCTGCTAATGTGTGGCTGCCCTTTGACCTTGGTTTAGGAGGCAGCTGGAGATACCACATTTCTGAATCCATCTTAGTTCAGCCAGACAAATCAACCCTCTCCCACCGTCCTCCAAATTTCCTTGTACTCCCCACGCCTTCTCCCTCTGCAGCCTTAAGTGGAACTGAAACGGTTCGCACGGACACACACGCAGCAATGTAATACATCCCCCCAGAATGGGTTTGCAACGAAATGGTGATGCGTTTCATCGACAAAGCTTGGCAAATGGGTCACACTGAGCCCTATTTTGGCTGTAGAAAAAGAAAGGAGAAAGGAAGGAAAGGGAAAAGAAAAAAGAAAGAAGTACCGATTTTGCAGCGTAAACCAAGATTATGTAGACGGCCAACGCAAATGGCGATTCCTTCTCCCATCACCTGCATAATAACAGCATCACGTTTGCATATAGAACAGCCTTTTTTCATTATTGCTCTACTTCATAAAAAATATAAGGAACTTAGAACAGACGTATACGTTACAAACTTAAGGTTCTTTGGTGAAGAATGAAAAAAAAACCACAACAGTATTTCAGCTGTCAATCCATCCCGGAAGCGAGCCGGCTGCTTCTATCTGTTGATCCTTTGGATCCTTTCACAGAGGAGGGACAGATACTGCGTCAACTTGACCATGGCAACGATAGCAATCCCTCCTATCATCATACAAGTTGGCCAAAAGAGGGAGTGGAACAGCACGTTGGAGCTGTAGAGTTTGGTTAGCAATACATTCTTTTGAATGCCTTCGGGGTCGTAGTAACAGGAGAAGTGCTGGTACTTTCTGAAGTTCTCCATGACGACATTCACGAGGGACAGAGACTCTTCAAAGTTCTTGCCACACTTGGGTATATATGAGCACTGTCGGAGGGGGAGAAAGACAAATGAGATAAGAGACAGTATGCATCCCTGGCCAAACCAAACGCTTGTGAATATGTATATACACCCATACATTTAAAATACAAATATGGCTTTCCTCAAAGAATGGATCCGTATTTACTTAGCTTTGACCAATCAGTCAAGAATTGTGCATGGAGGCACATAACGCTCCCCCCTAGGGAAGATTTACAAGATCCCTTTTCGGATATTACAGAAGTATGAAAACAGGAAAGCATCACTCACACTTCCTGCTTCGGCATCGCTTGTGACTTACAAAGTAAATTTTCCAACAAACTGGCTTGATTATTTGAAAAGAAAACAAATCCAATATTTTTTTTCCAGCTCCCTGAGCCCTTAGCAATCAAAAGTAGAGAAAAGCAAAGCAGTTGAAACAGCTGGAGTCTAGACCAGAATCTGGGTATTGGGCTGCAAAACTCGGAGAAATATATATATAGGGATAGAAGAAAAGGACACCCAGAATTCTTCTTACTGTTCTGTCTCTGCTGGAAATCTAAGTGCTTTCTCTTGCCTCTGGGATTGGTGTGATCAATGAACTGAAAAGGCTGCGCAGGTTTTGTGTTGACCTTCGGAGGCTTGGTAGTGCAGACCTTCTGGGACACAAGTCTCACTCTTTCCCCAGCAGTGTCAGTAATATCACCGGCTCCGAGATGGCTTGGAGGTGGGGGGAAAGTGACAACGGGCACCCCAAGGGACCCACACTAAGTCCCAGACTCTGGATTCCTGCTTTCATTACTTTGGCACACACACCTGTATTCCCAGCTTGTGGAACAGATGGCACCTCGTCAAGCCAAACAGCTGGAAGTAACCATCAGCTATTGTTGCCTGCCACTGGCAAGAGCACCTCACTGTTTCTGTTTACCTTGTTATAGTAGGGAAAAAAGAGGTAAAACTTGGGTTAAATTACACAGTGTTTGGGCTCATGTCTTGAGGAGCAGAGCCCCTAAGCCTGGATGTCATGAGATAAGGGTGCCGGGTGCACTGGGTTACCATAGCAACAACCGCGAGGTTGAACGTATGACTTGCTGAGTCATTCGCCCCCTCATTGGTTCAGGAAATAGACCTACGTGTAAAGATGGGGATCCTGGTCTCTGGGGCATTGCTTTCATTGTATGATGTCTTGTCCATGTTCTGCTGTCCTGTTGCACGCCCTCCTGCCCTGTTTGCTGTCAGGGTTTGACTCTGAATCTGTGAGAGGCCATGGTTTTTACACAATAGCGTGAGATATTATGGTAATAGTGTTAGTGAATCTCTCTGCACATATGTATCTCTGCTTCAAAAACCAGAAGAACTGTATTTAGTGGATAATAGTGGCTGCCTTTGTCTTCTGTCTGGAAACAATAAATGCTTTGTTACTTTGAACTGTTTTCCCCCCTTAACTGGGGACTCTGGAAGAAGCTCTGGAAGAAGAAGGAGCAGGAAATCTCTGGAAGACTCTGCTGGGGATCCACATAGTCTGCTGATACATCACCCTGATTGAGGTGTGGTGAACTACCAACAAACTTCCACAAGTCACCAGGAACATTGCTAGGCGGGCTAAGTGGGGCAGCCCAATGGGACCATATGCCACTGGTTCTGAATGTGCTGCAGTGGCCGCCATTGAGCTACTAGACCCAGTTGTATGTACTGGCATACAGAGCCCTCAATGGCTTGGTACCCAAGTACCTGAAAGAGTGCCTTCACCAATATCAACCATCTCAAATTCTGTGATCGGCAGGTGAGGCCTTGTCAGCAGGTCTTGACTCATGACAGGGCCTTCTCAGCGGTGGTTCTGATTTGTGGAATGCCGTCCCTCGTGAAGTGTGCCCGACTCCCTTATGCAGTTTATATAAATAATGTAAGTTACATAATTTTGCTGCAGCAGAAAGAAAAACGAATACAGTGGTACCTCAGGTTACATATGCTTCAGGTTACATATGCTTCAGGTTACAGACTCCGCTAACCCAGAAATAGTGCTTGAGGTTAAGAACTTTGCTTCAGGATGAGAACAGAAATCATGCTCCGGTGACGCGGCGGCAGCAGGAGGCCCCATTAGCTAAAGTGGTGCCTCAGGTTAAGAACAGTTTCAGGTTAAGTACGGACCTCCGGAACGAATTAAGTACTTAACCTGAGGTACTACTGTATTGTAGTTTTTAGTGGAAGATGAATCACAGTGGAATGGAAACAGTGCTCTATATGACGCATGTGGCGCAGAATGGAAAACAATGGCTTTTTACATCCCTAAGTGTTAACACTTGGGGAAATGAGTTACTGCTGGTGCTAAGAGGAGGTGCAACATGGGATACTTCCAAGTGGTCCAGGGTCTCTCACATTCCTTGGCATCATGGGAAGAAACAACACTGCAGTCACGCCTACCCACACCAGGAAAACATGAATACTGTGCTTTACTGCTGGTGTGATGGCCTCCCAGAGATTAGTGGAAACCATTTATTTCTCCAGGGATTCTGCCTAAAATGAAAGTAGGAAGCATCTCCATCATTCTGGTGGGCTTCAGAACAACGTTGCATGATGATCAGAGCAGTAACCTTCTTCTCACGTCAGTGGTGGAGAACTTGCATTGCTGGATACGACTCCCACCATCCCAGGTCATTGGCCAGGCTGGTTGGGGCTGATGGGAGTTGGAATCCAACAATATCTGGAGAGCCTCAGGTTCCCCACTCCTGGTTTCCTGGCAGAGAGAAAAATGGCAGCCACTAGGTTCTGGTGTTGCTACTACCAGAACCTCAAACTGCACAGTGGTGGAAGTGAAAAAGGTCAGCCAGAGACGAGGATCTGGCTTCAGGAAATCATTTGCCGCCCACCATCTCTCTGAGTCCTCAGATTTCATCTGAAAGTTCTTGTAAAAAGAACTTGCAGTTGAGCCTTATGCATGATTCATAGGAAGCTTATGATGGATGAAGTTTGCTCACTGTTTGGCAGTGCGTCTAAATAAACACGATAAGCCTGTCCTTCATTAAATAACAACATTAAATAACATTAAATAACAGCATTAAATAACAACAGGCTTCTAGAGGCAGGTAGGGAGTGAGAATCGGCAAGAAAACAACAATTAAAAGTCATTTGTTCATTGGGGAACATCACCACTTTGCCTCTCAAGTCCATTCTGAGACCTAAAAGTGCAGTGTAAGTAACTTAGTAGGGAGCTAGACTAACCATTTGGTGTGATTGATCTAGGATCCAGTTCTTTGTTTAGAAATTAAAAGGACGTGAACAGAGACCAATGATTATACCATGATCACACTTAGTGAAGGCTGGGGGGAGGGCTGCAGTTCAATGGTAGAGCATTTGCTTTGCATGCAATAGCTAAGTTGGTCAGAGCGTGGTGCTGACAATGCCAAGGTTGCGGGTTCGATCCCTGTCTCCTCCATATCTGCATATTCCTGCATTGCAGGGGGTTGGACTAGATGATCCTCAGGGTCCCATCCAACTTGATAATTCTATGGTTCTATGCAGAAGGTCCTAGGGTCAACCCATGGCATCTCCAGATAGGGCTGTAAATACCCTGACTGTAACCTTGAAGAGCCACTGTGAGTCAGTGTGGACAATACTGAGATAGAACTCAGTATAAGGCAGGTTCCTGTGCTCCTAAGGTCAGTGAAGGCTGATCCATTTGGGCAAATGGGACACTGCCCCACCAAATTCAAGCTGCCCTCAGCCAGACCCCACCTGCCTCCTTCTTACTTACAACCAGAACAGGGAGTCGCCCTGTTAGCCAGCTTCCTCCTCCTTAGTTTCTTTTTTTATATATATACCTTTTTATTGATTTTTTAACATATCAGTTCCAACAGTCATACATCATATCTTCTCATCTTATACAATGTTTTAGATTTCCGTCAACACCTCTGATGATTTTCTGTTCTTTATCACTTATTCTGCATTTCTTAATTTCAATGTTGCATTTAATTGTCCTCAACTAATAATTCTTTTCATAGTCTTTCTTGTAACATTTCAGATAATTCACCTTACAAAACTTCTTGCAATCCTACTAGCGTAATCTGTTCATCACAATTTCTTTTCAAATAGTTCATATATTTACTCCAGGCTTCTAAGAATCTCTGATCCCGCAGGTTTCGAATCCTTCCTGTTAATTTATCTAATTGTGCATAGTCCATTCCTCCTCCTTAGTTTCAGTGTTGCACGGCATGGAGAAAGTGGATAGAGAATTTTTATTATTATTATTCCTCTCACATAACATTACAACACATGGACGCCTAATGAAGCCGAAGATTCAGGACAGATGAAAGAAAGGATTCGCCCAATTATGGAACTCACGCAGTGACGCTCGCCAACTTCCAAGACTTTAAAAGAGGATTGGAGGACAAAATCATGGAGGGAAAGGCTATCAATGGTAACTAGCCAGGATGGTTACACTCTGCCTTCATTGTCAGAAGCAGTAATGCTTCTGAATGCCACAGGAGGGAAGAGAACTCGTGTTCTTGGGTCTTGCTTGATGGATTCCCACAGGCACCTGGTTGGTCACTGTGAGAATGAGGTGCTGGACTAGGTGGGTCATTGGCCTGAGACAGCAGGCTCTTCCCTATGCCTTTGCAGAACTCAACAGGGAGGAAGATGGGGACAAAAGTGGAAATTAGTGGCTCCACCTGCCATGGTCTCTAGCTCTAACTACCTGCTGCCTTACTAGTTCAAGAAAAAAGCACACCAAGAACTCTGGCCAATATAAGTTTCAATAGTGGGAGTGGTCCCTACTCGCAAATCAATAGTCAACTGTAACAAAAACTAATCCATTCAAAAGTATGTATTCTGACAAGGATTACAAACTCAAATAGAGATTACAAACTCAAACAGAGATTACAAACTCAAACTCATAAGGATATGTATAACACAATAATTCATTACAGTATTAGAGATAAGAGTTTGTGAGCAGAGATAAGTTCCTGTTAGTCCATAGTCAGATTTGACGTGAAGATCTTAGTTTCAATCATTGAGCCAGAAGTTAGAAGTCA